CACACACACATAATATTAGGGTGGCAGGCCTCGCGAAGGTTACACATTCTGACAGCAAAGAGTTTTTATTCTTTCTTTCTTGGACGTAATATTATAAGTATACTTATGTTAAAACCGTGTTCGAATTAGGGTTGTTGCGAATGTCAGCATCTGCATCCACATCCGCGGATAATCTGCATAAATTTACATATCTGTATCAGCATCAGCATCCGCATTCATCGATGCTGATATTCATTGCGGATGTTCAAGTCGTCTTATGACTTAAAAGGCACGCTGGAATAATTTACAAACTTTCCAGAAACAGACTGTAAGCCGAAAAAGCAGTTCAGCTGTTGTTTTTAAAATAAGAGTAATAAAATTCTACCGTTGTAGATCTCTAGAAACAATAAATTTGTCTAGCTTAATCGTTATTAAGCTAGACAAATTGATTGTTTTCATAAAGATTGTTTCTTTTGTTTGCGTCACAAAAACATTGAAATAACATTTATTTACAATACCAAAGAAAATAGAAAGCTTTTTCATGTAGATAGATTCAGTAAGAATTTGTCGTGTTTTTTTTTAAATACGTAAAAATCAGCATCCGCATCAGCATCCGTTGATGTGTAATAAAAATCTGTATCAGTAACCACCCTAGTTCGAAGTGGTCATTGATAATTATCACTGTAATTGTAATTGTCTTCTTGATAAATCGTCGGTTAAAAGGTAAAACTCATTAAGTGACATTTTGTTCAAAAACTAGATTTTTTCAATTTTGCTTTATTGGGAAGAACATCTATGACAAGAAAAATTCAGTAAGTCTGTGGTTTCCTTCATGTTTTAATACATACCAGTCCTTTAGTGATTTTTCATAATGAAAAAATACAAAATCTTAATTATCTCCCTTTGGCCAATTAGGCTATTAGTGAGTTTTACCTTTTAACCGACGAAATATAATACGATTTTTTTAAATAATTGGAACATATATACATATATATGGAGTATATAACCAGAAATACCCAGAAACAATTGACGACATTCGTCAATTGTTTCGAAGTCGGGCTGGTCAATCGGAGCGCAGTTGTCACCGTAATGATACTGGTAGAATAGTTTTCAAACAAATTAAATGACATTTCGCCTCTATTTCTGATTATATGCTCGATGAATTGGAATAACAAAATCCGAGACGTACACGTCAACTAATCGTGTCAACAAGTCGTAAACCAAATCGTTTTTCCAAAGATGTTTCGTGATTATATACTTTTCTCACTGTTTGTCATTGTTAGTCAAAAATTAAAAAGATAAAACTATGGTTGTACGGTTTTTGCACCGTACAATACTTTGCTAACTTAACAACCTACATATTGCACGTGTAAATGCTCCTAAAAGCCAGTTGACAACTCGCTTCACTAGCGATCGGCCACAGATAAGCATTCAAAACTATACTGTACACTTTTTACTTAATACATCAACTTATTACGGAAACTGTGGTTTACGTCAATTCTATATCCCACTCTACTTAATAATACTCCAATCTTAGACGTTTAGAGAAGCATACACTGGACTAGCATAGATAATTTTCGGATATATATCGGATGCAAAAATTTCTAGATATTTATAGTGATTATTAACAAAGAAAATAAGTATCTTGATCATTTCCTTCCTTGGTTGAAGCCAACGCATTTTTTAAACTACAAAGTTCGCATGACATGAGATATTGACGACGTAATGTTATCAAAGTTGTCATTGTCTTCATAAATGACCATGTAGCATTAAATTTTCTTTTGACGCAACGATACAACTGGTGGCCGAACGGTTATCGTGCTGGACTGTCATGCAGAGGTCCAGCGTTCGATTCCCGGGCCGGGAGAAATATATATATGGCCTACGTTTATTTTTCTCGTGAGTTTGGGTGTAATTTGTGGTTGTCTATGTGTGTGTCCATGGCACCCGCGATACAGGGTTTCCTTAGTGCGGGGCTATGAGTGCGCGCGAGTTGTTATTATTTATTTACTTAACGTTTCCTTTTTTAAATATTCCATATAAATATTGAAACCTAACCTACCCTTAAATCTGTTTCAAATATTCAATAATAGATACCTTGACCTTTTACAGTGTATTGAAGATAAGAATATCAAAAAATGTAATGGCTATTGAACGGCAGACTGATGGCTAGCCACAGACGAGTAGTGATGAAAGAGACTCAGTCTTTTAAGGCGTTTTATAGCGACTCGACACCATTTTACGGGGCTCGACTGTAAAATTAGGACTGGGGGTTCAAGTTTTTATTAATAAGTTGTAACTTGTGGATAATGCTGTTGATTGTACGTGTACCTATGTTAGAAATATTTAACTCTGATTGTAAACATTTCGTGTACAATTGTTTGTTATCCCTGAAAAAATAAATAAATAAATAAATAAATAAATAAATAAATAAATAAATAAATAAATAAATAAATAAGACTCATTCGTTATACTAATAAGACTCAAGACTTAAACGACTTGAACGACTTAAGCGACTCGAGTTGTTTGCAAAAGACATACCTATTTTATGTCTTATTATATCCGAAGTTTATTAAATAAAAATGACGTAAAGTCGTAGTATCGTAGTATCGTGCTCGACATGACTAGCGACTCCCGAGGCTATGAGGCGCCAGTCCTTTTAGTCGTTTTAGTCCTATAAGTCTTTTAAGCTTCCTAGGGTTAAAAGACTTGAGGGTTAAAAGACTAGACTAGTCGTGAGGCGTTGAAAATTAGTTGAGGTTTTTTAAAAGGCCTTAAAAGATTGAGTCTCTTTCATCACTACTGACGAGTCACTACTTTTAACTTTAAGCGGCACGAGTCCAAGCCCTTGAGCCACCGTGCTCTTGACGTCATAGCTGCAAATTATGAGTGCCTTCCTTCTTTTATGTTTGTATGTATTAATGTGGTACCTCTGGGTAGTCTACGGTTGAATTCAATTAAAAACGGTCTATCTACAACGGTTTTATTGATCACAATATTTTAAAAATATAATAAAGTCCCGTAGCAAAATTAAATTCTTTGTATCTATTGTTGTTACGGGATTATCAACTTGTATTAATGGGTATTCACTTAGGTACTTTTACACAGTACCGGCACGCTATGATGGCAGTTTTGACGTTTGTCCGTTCATCAAGTTTCGTATTAATTCATAACTACGTTCAAGGAACCAATTCATGTATATTTTGTCAATAGTGCATAAAATTTATGAACGTATAATTTTACGACACAACTCGGCATTTGTTTTTCGAAATTTAAAAAAATGAAATCTAATACCATCGTCACTTATGGGATCGCTGTCCTGCACAACTTCTAGCTCCGGCAAACTCGCGTCAAACCTCAATACAAAACAAAGCAATTTCGAATTGACGATATATTAACATTTTTATTTTCGTTTTATTAAAACTCTTTTAATCAGTTAGCCCTTGCAATAGCAACGAGTGTATAACCAGAAATAGAGATGAAATAAGATCCACCCAACTGGCAACTCATCAGGCAAATGGGCCTTATATAACTTTTAAATATCAACTCTCGTTTGCGCTGATATCACAAATTAAAAAGCTGGAATAATACAGCGCCAACAACTGACCAGTGTGTACGTCTCCGTATATTCCAAAAATGTACTGTGTTTATTGTAATAAAGATAATATCTCTAACAATGGGGGACTGTTCCATTCGGTGGTGTAGGAAAAACAGCAAAACATCTAATTACAAAACAAACGGAATCACATTTCATCGGTAATTAAATATGAAATATGTAATTTTTCAATTTTCGTCCATTATAGCAAGCGTTTCGTGTCATCCATTCAGCGCAAATGAGAGTTGATATTTAAAAGTGATATAAGGCCCATTTGCTTGATGAGATGGCTCCTATTTCGTCTCTATTTCTGGTTATATATTCGATGTTGGCGTTCTATAATTGCCTCAGTGGCCGAACTGTTATCGTGCTGGACTGCACAGAGGTCCCAGGTTCGATTCCCGGGCCGGGAGAAATATTTGTATGGCCTATATTTATTTCTCTCGGAGTTTGGGTGTAATTTGTGGTTGTCTATCTGTGTCCATGGCACCCGCGACTCAGGGTTTCACTAGTGCAGGGCTGTGTTGAGTGGTGCGTTATTATTTACTTTATTCTTCTCAGCTTGTTAGCTGATTTGAACCACATTTACGGACCTAAGTCAAGTTATTATTATTATTATTATTTGCTTTATTCTTCTCGGCTTGTTAGCTGGCTTAAAACGCATTTACGGACCGAAGTCCAGTAAATGCAGTATGGCGTGTATCTATCTATAATTATTATTATTATTATTATTATCTATTTTAGACTTATTATTATTATCGATACATAACTGAGATGGTTTAAAATTAGCAGTCTTGAGGTCCAGCCAGGCAGTTATAGTTTCTCTCGTCTTAAGGCGAGGTTTGATGCTATTTTTACGCTATTCTAGTACGCTCAGGTCCATCTAAATTTTACTTCGTTGCTTTCGCGATAACAAGTTTAGAAATAATCTCAGTACAGAGTACCAAAAAAACCGACCACCAGATTCATCCCCTAGTTTGCCACCCTTAGAGGTGGAATATTTTTTTATTACATATTACTTTAAATTTAAATGAGATTCCTACCGATGTACCCTCTTTTCTATAAAAAAAGAATCATGAAAATCGATTCATAAATGCCTGAAGGTAACCTATCACAAACTCGAATTTATTTTTTCCGAAATAACGTTGGTTCGAATTTTCATTACCGCGAAAACAGAATTATAACGAAACCGTTGTTCTTTCAGGATAAGTTGGATGTTTATCGCAAAGACACGATTAGGTTCGGTTAGGTTAAGTTAGGTTTAAAAGAAAAAACATTTTCCTCTCAAAATTACTTTCGAAATTATGAAAATTCGAGCAAAAGTTATTTCTGGAAAATGTCATTTCGGACTTCTGATAGGCAACCAGTCAGTTAAAAAATATTTAATAATTTGACTTGTGGCCGAATGCAAAATACTCACTTGTCGCTGCTGCGGTTGAATTCGATGGTTTGGTTAAAACATCAACGTTAAAAATGCAGGTAGTTATTACGTATGTTTCATTTTTGTATAAATAACGCTGATTGGCGAAGACTTGAGTACTAAGCTGTTTGAGTACTAAGAATGAACAGTTCCATCTACCTTCATATTCTTTTCTTGTTAATATCTAAAAACAAAATATCGGACATTCATAGGTAGGGTTATTTTGTTGCAGTGTTATTTGTAAAGCCAGCATATATGTTTGTGGAGTCTAGGCTAACGCGAGCGTAGGCAAACAGATGCACGGCTAGTGCTACCGCCTATTTAGACTAGGGCTTGCCCCCGGGAATTCCGGAAATACCGGGAAATTTCGATACTGGCGAGATACAATCAGTCCCGGTACCGCGATTATAGATTCCCTGTACTCCCGAATACAGCAAGTAACTATCTATCGAGCTATGAGTAATAGCGCCTGTTGGCGCTCGTTACTGTCTTTATAATGCCACTTAAACTTTTTTTTGATAATGCCAAGTGACGACCAACAAGTCGTGCGCCTGGTAAAGAGCGACACGCCTATCCTTAACAGTTGCAGTGCCATTCAGAGCTTTAAATAGCAAAAATGTTATGAGCACTGCCACTGCGTCCGTCACCCTGAGACATAAGTTGATACGTCTCATGTGGCTGTTATTACAACAGCATCCTTACCCTTCAAAACCGGAACGCAGTAATGCTCACATTACTGCTTGGTGGCAGAAATAAGTAAGTAAATGGACGAACTCACTCACAACCAGCTACTGGCAATAAACTTATTATTTAAGAGTCGATGCTACCTCAGCTGGAATTCAAAGTTTTCCCGTACTTACACTGGCTTTATGTCAGATTTTTTTTAAACAAACGAAATTAAAGCTATTTGAAAAATGTATATCGTATAGTACACGTGTCATATTTAGTTCAGTTGATATAAAACTGAATCATTGGTATATGTAAAGTACCTGAATACAGCGGTTTTCTTATAAAATTTCGAGGTTAGTTGTGTTTTTCTTTCTATCGTGAAAATTTTTACGAATTGTGTTTTCACATCATATAGTAATCAGTGCACAATCCTCAATTTTACTAAATATTTTTTCCAAAGATTCAACACTGTCACCGTTATGCGGAATCAACCAAAGCCATTTGAGTTAGTATAGACTCTTACGTTAATTTTAGTAGTAATTTGTACCTCCAATAGATATTTTGAATGAAGCTTTATTTTGAATGAAGATTGTCTTTATATTTACAGTATTATTATTACGGTATATGAAATTATTGAATAGCCCGGAAAAAGCATATTTACTTGTTATACTTTAAGCTTTTCAAGAAGTACCGGGAATTCCGGTAGTACCGGTACTGTGCTGGGCGCAGCACCAGAATCAAAATTTTAGGGATCGGACCGGTTCTGCAAGCTCTAATCTAGACGTCCGACAAGTTCGAAGAAGACCAATACAAACGGCCAATGTAGACAAGTTTTGTGGAGCTGCCCACAGCCTCGCAGAAATATATTACTTGTGAGTAATATATTTCTGCGTATTATATATATATTTCATCATAAACAACAACTTTTGTTCCTTATTAATATGAGGGATTAGTTTTTTTCCTATGGCTGTAGTTTTTTAGAATCTACGAACGTTTTATAGTCCTGAAAACTTAGCAATAAATCATAATTTATTAAGACAAGTAGGGCAACTCCCGCCTGTTCGGCGCATCAATGTCTACACGTCGTGCGGAGCGCAGTGTTGTCACATTATTATTTTATTTATGCTTACTGGCAGGGCTCTGTCACTCACTCAAGGTTACGCGATAAGTGCCTACCGCTGAGTATACCGACGTCGGCACAAGCGCTCATACAAGTCTTTCATTTATGAGCATTCGGCTTCTCACGACTGCACACGGTGTTAACGTTATTTTCATCGCTCTGAGCGCGTGCTTAGGTTCCTTTTTCCTCTTAATGAGCTCTTGGTGTCATTAGTCAGAATTAGTAGGCTGTTATAGCGTACGTATTTTCGATTTTGTATGAGAGTGATGTATCTGTTACATTCTTACCGTCTTCTGTGATGTCCATACCGATAGCCGACCGTCTTCACCTACTTGGAATGGATCTGTCGGCCAATCTGAACTTCGGCAGTTACATTGAATCCATGGTCAAAAATGCAGCCAAGAAGCTTGGCATCCTTTCCAAGGTGAGGCGATACTTCACACCGGGACAGTTGCTTCAGCTGTACCAAGCACAAGTACGGTCGTGTATGGAGTACTGCTGCCACTTATGGATGGCTCTGCTAAATACCAACTGGCCACCTTAGATTCAATAGACAAGCGTGCTAAGAGGCTTATACGTGACTCGGAACTAGTAGAGGTGAAGCTGCAGAGCCTTGAGCACCGCCGTAGAGTTGCCAGCTTATCGGTATTCTACAAGATATATCACGGAGAGTGTGCGATGGAATTGCATAATTTGATTCCGCCTTCCCCTTTTCATCAACGGGAGACTAGACGTGGGCGGGGGTTCCACCCCTATGTTGTGGATATTCCCCGGATTCGTACTAAGCGTTTCGCTTCCACATTCCACACATAAAGGAGTAAAGAAAAACTTTCATAGATTTCTCACAGATGGCGTTACGGCGAAAAAGTCGCACATAGAAAGATTCGTTGATACGAATCCAGCCAGATCGAATGAATTCTTCTCTGTGTTCGATCTTTGTATTAATAATTAAATTAATTAAATTATTAAATTATGTTACTATCTTAAGGAATTAAAAATATATATATTTAAAAAATCATGTATAACTTACGTATGCCATATTATTCGTCACTTCTAATGTAAAGTTATTATTCAATTTGCTCCCATTATTCAATAGAGAGCACCTGAAAAAAAAAAACTATTATACGCATATTTTATTTTTAGACAAAAAAGAAATAAGGTAGGTGCGTAACTATGACATAAAGAAGAAATAAAATATTATCTATGTGCTATACAGTGACACCAATTGCCTGGGCCCATTGGGTATATAACCAGAAATAGAGACGAAATATCATTTAATTTGTTTGAACACTATTCTGCCAAATCATTACGCTGACAACTGCGCTCCGATTGGCCACCCGTCAATTGTTTCACTTAAAATCGACCAGTTTAACTTGAGCTATGCTATAATGGACGATAATTGAAAAATTACATATATTTAATATTTAATTCCCGATGAAACATGATTCCGTTTGTTTTGTAATTAGATATTTTGTTGTTTTTCCCACACCGAATGGAATTGCCCCCCATAGTTAGGGATATTATCTTTATTACAATAAATACGGAATATTTTTGGAATATACGGAGACGTACATACAGGTCAGTCGTTGGCGCTGTACTATTTCAGCTTTCTAATTTGTGATTTCAGCGCAAACGAGCCTTTTGCCTGATAAGTTGCCAGGAATGGATGGCCCTTAGTTCGTGTCTACCGGGATTCGACCCTGGGATCTCATCCAGTGCCCACAGTCTATTCGGTCGGTCACAGCGGTGGTCAACAAGTGCAAGGAAAATACTTTTGGTATGTGTAAGAAAAGAAGTATAGGTCATTACCAGGCGTAGTTTATTGTCATTCCTGTGGTGTTCATTACACAATACGTGCTTTCAGTGCATGCATATAGTTTTTGGCTCTTACATTGGACGGCACTCGTCGTTCTTAGGAATGATATTTTTATTAAATTCGCTTTTTTCGTTTCATCTGCAAAAAAGAAAAGTGTTGTCATTCTGAAGGGAATACCGGCCAAGTGGGGACGATATTCCGCCATACATCTGGAAGTCCAAAGGTAAAAGAGAGCATGAGCTGATGAAGCTAATTGGCGCACTCATTACTCTTCAGTAAAAAACCGACAGACAGACATTCAGTTCCCGAATAATCCATTAAATATCTCGGAGAGCATCGGGATTCTTGGTGTCGACATCTCTTGTGACGTTCAGTTTCGGAGTCACTTTGATGGCAAAGTCAAGCTGGCGTCCAAAAAGCTCAGTGTGCTCAACGGGGCTAAGCAGTATTTCACATCGGAGCAGAGATTGCTACTTTATAAGTCACAAGTCCGTCCTTAAATGGAATACTGCTGCCATCTTTGGGCGGGGGCTCCCGGACGCCAGCTTGGGCGCTTTAACGTGGTTCAAAGACGAGCAATGAGAACTGTTGACGATCCAGTGCTTACAGGCGATATTGAAACAATGTCTATCGCTTGTACAATGACCAATGTTCCCAAGAAAGACTGACGTGATGCCAAAAGCAACATTTTATCAACGCACCGCTCGCCACCGGCAAGAAGTCCATCCTCACACTCTGGAACCGAGTCGATCTCGTACTGTACGGTTTCAGAGGACTTTCCTCACACGTACAATTGGGTTGGACTGTCAGAGTGTTCCCACAGGAATACAGCATGGAGTCCTTCAAAAGGGGTTTGATAAGGGTCCTAAAGGGTTTGCAACGCGCTCGTGACGCCCCTGGTGTTGCCAGCGTTCATAGGTAACGGTGACCGCTTTTCATCAGGCGGGCCGTATGCTTGTTTGCTGCCTACTTAGTATAAAAAAAAGACTGGCAACATCGCGCCGAATGGAATGAACCGAGACAATAGCCTCAAGTTGATACTTCACAGAGCCATGTCACGGGTAACTGCAATACTCCATGCAAGATCGGATTTGCGCTTTGTAAGAACTCACAAAGCTCTTTTATTTTAATACTCACGACACCGCAGGTTTGTGCAGTCACGTAGCCGCCGCAGTTTCGGAACGGAATGTAAACTTGGCGAGAGATGATCGCAAGTTGCGTGGTAACTTACGATCGACCGAGATCGTCAGAAATTAGCTAACGCGTTATACTTCATTGAAGAATTAAACGAAGGCCTAAAAGATTCTGGGTGCATTAGGAAAGAGATTATTAATTGTTTTTATTATGAGTTAAAAAAACGTGAAGAAATGCGTCGCCAGCGAACAGATCCCCAGTGACCGCGTGTTTGGTGGTGCTACTCGCCTACTACCTCGCAGACGCTGTGGCTACCGCGAGCAACCGTCCATATCCGTGGTGAATGGGGTCGTGAAATATGCTACTAAGTTATAAAGTGACAATTTCTTTTTGATAAAGCACCAAGCTATGATGTGTATAGACCGCTGCAAGGGTTGATCAAGTCCGGTGCATGTGAGACCAATCGAATGCATCCCACACCGAGAGGTCACATAGCGCTCCAATTATGGTGTTTGCCACAACGTGTTTGCGAAGTTGGCCAGACTCCGCAGACACGATTGCAACCTTTCCCCAGAGGTACTAGGCCACGTTTTACGGGCATTGGGTATGTGTATGCGTACGCTACCACCGCTTAGTGTACAGAGTGTCCTTAATTATCTGATTAGGTTCAGCAATACTCGAAGCAAGGTTGATCAGGCCAAGCGACAAGGTTTACTTGCTGGAGCTGCCCTACCATTCCGCTGGTCGGTCACGGAAGGTGGACAGCCTCATAACCGTCCATACCCGTGGCGAATGGCGTCGTGAAATGTGCTTCTAAGTTATAAAGTGACAATTTCTTTTTGATAAAGTACCAAGCTACGATGTATGTAGACCGCTGCAATTGTTAATTCGGCGTTGGGAAAGTGAAATGCCACTCGCGCGGCATGTGTGTTTGGCAATTGTACGAAAAATTTATTTAAATAATTATCAGAAAAAAGTGAAAATGTACCGAAAAATGTTAACAAATATTCATAATTTGTGTTCCATTACTTAACACTAAGTTTATGTAAAAACCTGCCTCGTCTTTCTCAGATACAAAAAACAACGTAGAGAAAAAAAATATAAAAAAATCTATATGTATTACTGACCTTCTGCGCTGCGTTTTGTTATTTTTTTTTCAAAGACGCTTTGTACAGGAATTAAACCTGAAAACAAAATCTTTTTATTATTCTGTCACTTTATTCATTTCCTAATGATCATTCAAAATTATAATTATTTAGAAAAAAAACAAGAAAGCAAATTTTGATGACATGATGGTTGAATCAAGCGATAATTTTAATATTGTTAGTACAATTTTAATGGGATAATATCATTTGATCCTCAAAGAAACAGTTGATCTACTGTAAATGTGCACTTTTTAAAATAAACTATACTCTTTTTATGTTTGATATAATTATATTAATTACTGTTCCATCTATATCATATCTACAGATAAAATTATAAATGAACTGCATTCAAGGTTACACTATTATTATGTGTAAACATACTAAATTAATATTTGGAATTCAAAAATAATATTTCATCCTCTTTTTTATCTTTGGCCTTTTCTTTTAACGATTGATGACATTTATAACCAATATATCTTTTGATATTAATTTCCTAATAAATCTTGGTTGCTTGATTGCGCCTTCCATTCAGTAGGTTAGGTTAGTATATAAAAAAAAGCAGAACGAGTCGAGCGAGCGAAGCGAGCGTGTCGCAGCGGCGGCCGGCAAGTGCCAGAAGCCAATTTGCTGTGATATTATAATGATGTCAATATTAGTATACATATAAGCAACAATTACTTAGTTCTAAAAATAAGTATCCGAATTTTATTTATAATGCTCATTTGTCTTAGTTTTGAGGCCCGAAATAAAATTATCAAATTTATTTTGCAGAATAGATTAAAATATATTACTATACGTATTATCAATCGATTTAATTTATTTTATATCTCACAGAAAGAGGATCAATAATTAAAAAAGATAACCGTTTAGATTTACCGCTTTTAGACCGCTACTTTTTTAAGTTTAAAAACATCATTTAAATATATATGCCAATTTCAATGTGAACTAAACTAATCAATTACGTAGGTAAGTGTTATTTCTGACGTCCACGCTTCGATTCTATCGAAAAATGTTGAAAATTTCGTGGACGGATAAAAATTACTACTGACAACGTTTTGGAGAGGATGCACACAGGCTATCTGGTTGTAAAATCATTATTGTTTATTTGTTTTGTTTGCTGTAGTAGTCAGACCTATTATTTGACTATAATCATTCATAATAAGTACGATCAAAAAGTTTATAAAACTGTCAGAATTCCTATTTTTATGAATGATCTCAAATGGTCTAAACTCGTTTTGAATTAAAATTACTTATTTATAGCAAATATTTTTTATTAAATTCGTTATCAAAAATCTTTAATATATCTATCTGTTTAATTAAATCTTTAATCACAGGACTATATACAATAAAAGTTTGGACGGAATCGAAAGTCAGTGAATGTTGAAATTATTAACTGCAATATAAAAATAAATAAAAACTTTACTTCTTAAGTAATTAATTATAAAATCACAGGAGTAGTAGTATAAAACAGAATAAAAATAACTAAAAAAAATAAATAAAATCTCTTGTTATAAAAATATTATCAGAGGACGCTAATCTTAATCTAAACTAAACTAAACGTTTTCAAGGCTGCCATCCTTGGTTTGTTCAAATCAACCCCAATGGGCACTGAGTCTCTATGAGTAGAATTACTGGCTGAATATAGTTAGTGAATATAGTTTTATATTTAGAATGTGTTTTGAAATAGGAGTTTAAAAAGAATAGAACGTCTTGAGAGTTCGAGATGTAACCTGAGTAAGAAAATATGTAAAAAAGTACAATAAACCAAGTAATTATCCCAGTTTATATTCATATTAGTACCTCACACTACGCTACACGAGGTACGTCCAAGTCTACAGTACTCTACAAAATAGCAAATGTTTTCCACGCGTAAAAACACTCAATAGTTTAGCAAAAAACAATCCATACGCCAAGCAAAGTTCAATTCACCATTCTTCCAGTAATATTCTTACAACTATTTTTGAGAAATATTCTCTCCTGTATAACTTAGCCTTTTTTACGTTGGGAAATGCGTTACGCATACCACTCTCCTCGGGGGAACAAAGAGCGTTTACACGGGGAACAGGGAGCGGCACACGCTTGAGGAGTGCCCCACGTGGGCTTCTGAGCGGAACACCCTGGTTGCCTGGATCGGGCGAGATCTCTCTCCGCCAGGCATAGTAGTGGCTATGCTGGCGGATCAAGAGTCCGATGAGGCAGTGGTCTCCTTCTATGAAGCGGTGCTGCTCCAGAAGGTCGCCGAACGTCGAGAGGACCGATCTCGCTCGATGGCAGCGTACCTTCGTGGCTGCGGGCGATTGGAGCGGGGACTCCGTTCGCCAGTAAGTTTGGAAACCGCGACGAGGACGACAGGGCGGTGTGGCCCGCTTCGTCGTGAGGTGGGGGAGGAGGACGTAGCTCCTTCCAGGTGCTGGGAGGGTTCCGGTATGCAAAGCCGATCCCGGATCCTTCCCACTACAACACCCGAGAAGGCAAGCGTGGGGTTTTAACTGGTAGAAGTTCGGCATAACCTCTCCGAAGATAAATTCCGTTATTTTGGCCAGGAGATTTGCATGCTGTGCAGAGCAGGTCAAAGTAATAAAGTCGTACTGTCAGATACTATATACTTATAGTCTGTGGGTTACCTGTATCAAGCAAGCACAATGCCATCCGCGTTCAATATAATGACATATTTAGGACCGTGTTTGAATTGCCGAGATACTGTAGTGCATCTGAAATGTTTTTGTTAGCACGTATGAGACGGGTGTGCTGCTGTGCATAGAAAGAGGGTTTCTTCTCTTAGGCTGAACTGACACTGGCGCAGAGTCGAAGCGTCGCGACGCCTCATGTTTTTCGCCTATAGCATATTCATCTCTATTTTCCCATTGTTTGTGTTATACAAATATGGAATCGCTTGGTTAAAGTCCAGCGGTTCCTTGCGCGCAGTGACACGTCGGATGCCGACCACACTGTGATCCGGGTGCGCTAATGCGAGTGACGACGCGCTTCGCCGCGTTGTAGTTAAAAACAGGACACGACGCGACGCGACGCTTCGACTCTGCGCCAGTGTGAGCTGAACTTTAGACAGAGACTGCTAGACAGTACTAATAGCATTATAGATGCTATAACTTCTAGTTACGACTCGTCCATACTGCGTCATTGGATATCAGTTATTAATAAGTAATCGTATTTATTGTATGTAATAATTTGTTAACAATTTTTAATTCTAACTCAAAATTTTTGTCACGTATGGATTTGTTAATAAGCATTTATTATTTTTATTTATTATTAGTTTATTATTTATTATTATTATTTATTATTATTATTAGCACTTATTATTTATTAATTTTGACGAAAAATATGCCATCTGTAGTTATATTGAATGAACCGCACTCATCTTGGACATGTCAGTTTTGACATCATCAATTCGCACACCACTCGTTAACTTATGAATAACGAACGAAGGGTGATATGAAAATTTGTTATTTGCGATGAAAATCTGTTTGCAATTAATTGTTCTGAGATCGTCGGTCATCCCCCAGGCGTAATAAAAGAAAAAAATATAATTAATTCTATAGGTACTTACCTCGTTTCTTTGTCTTTTTAGCACATCCTGTGCACAAATATCTGTATCACTCCAATTAGAACAAAACTATAATTGTTTTTGGTAGTGATGATGATGAAGCAATAAAATCGCATATGAGACCAAAAACTGTCGTAACTCAAAATTGTTCTAGTGTTCTATTTTATGATGGCCGGAATATCAGCTCGGGCTACTTCATTTGCATAGTTCTCAGGTGCTTAGCCTTTTTGACATAGACATTTTTTTTCTTTTTCTTTGTTTTAATTTTTTTTTGTATTTACGAAGGATTTATGTAATTTTCCCTAATTCTTTCCAATTTATTTTGCATGCACATGTTAAATAAAGCCATTTTTACTTTATTTTATTTGTTTGGAAATAAAAAAAATATTGAGTGTTTCTTAATAAAAATAAGAGGCTTATTTTTATTTGTTCATAATAATTAGTTATCCACTTATAAATGAGAATATAAATTTATTGGTTCCACTCAGTACATTTTTGAGTAACGACAGTATTTGGTGGTGTACGAAATATGTATTACAAAAACTTGTCTTCTAAATAAAATTAGATTTTAAAAATATCCGTTTTTGTCACATTTACTGTTATAAATATTATTTGTTAAATAGATAGTACGTAGTATTTCTCTTTAACTTAAAAAAAAGTACGATGGACCTTAAAATTTTCGATCTACCCAAAACATAAACAGAGACGAAGGGGTGTCTTAACATACGAACTAAAGCCGGGTTTACATTTGTCTGACGTGTCGTGTCGTGTCGTGACGCGTCAGAACGGTATTGGTTTCACACACACACCAACTGGTACAACACCAAATAAGCCATCATGTCATATTGCGACACACTAATATAAATCTAACCATATTAAATGTAGGAAACCGACTTAGGAAATTCGGCAGAACGAAACTTGATAATAATAATTGTCATTACGACATTTTTTTTTCAATAGACCACAAAAGTTTGTGGAATTAGACTTAGTGGTTAAAAGTTAGTGGGTGAAATCCAATAAACCGGATTCATCCCTTAATATGCCACACTTAGAGGTGGAATAAATTCTTCAAATTTGTACGGGAGCACTATCGAGGTACCCCCTTTCCAACAAAATAAGAATCATCGAAATCGGTTCACAAATATCGGATTAATAGCGTACTAAACATACAAAAAAAACACACGAATTGAAAACGTCCTCCTTTTTTAAAGTCGGTTAAAAACTGAAGTAAATTAATTTAATTTAAATTAATTTGCTACACCGCAAACCTAGTAAATGTATCGCACAAATGATTTTCTTTTTCACGCGAATATTAGCGCTTTAACAGTGCTACTAAATATTGTATGAAAATTAGTAGTGGCGCGGCTGCTACGCAGCTCTTCTACAAGCATCTCGATTCATCCGTAGAACAAAGTCCGATGTGATTATATAGCGAAAAGGGAATAAGTACGTTGCGAGAATAATTTTGTTATTGAAACTAAGGCCTATGTAAAGGTGTTTTAAATATTTATATACCTTATTTCGTTTCGGAAACATAACATCGAAGAACGGTCGATCTTAACATCCACAGCGCAAAATAACGAACGAAATGTACTATGTCCTGAGAACAAGTAATTTTGCACATAGATCTTTGTTCTACGGCTGAGTCGATCTGTCTAATTTGCAGGCGTCCTAATTGTAAAAAAAAAAACAAGGAAATAAAGCCGTAACGTTATAGGTGCACGTGCAGACAACGATGAATAAAACGTGACGACAATAGTAGCTGCGAATGGTTGCCTATCAGTAGTTCGATATGACATTTTTCAGAAATAGCGTTTGCTCGAATTTTCATAACCTCGATAGTAATTTTGAGAGGAAAATATTTTTTCTTTTAAACCTAACTTAATCTAATCTAACCGAACCTTATCCCGTCTTTGCGATAAACATCCAACATTTCCTGAAAGAACAACGGTTGCATTATAATTCGGTTTTCAGCGTAATGAAAATTCGAACAAACGTTATTTCGAAAAAGAAATCGAGTATGTGATAGGTTACCGCTGCGAATATTTGTCCTCACATTTTTATCGTGACCTTTTATTTACGACTGTCGTTCTAGCTCATCCCACTGTCTCGAAAGTCTGACGTCGTAACGTTAAACAAGTCGTGAACGACAGTTAATCGTGTTGTACTACATGTGAACAACTTCATTTAATTATACAAGCCACGACACTTTAAACTGCACGACTATCTGTCGTTACGACATAATGAGAACGCGACCTCTGCCTATAGGTAATATAATCCTATAATCTCCCTGTAAATATGGAAACCTACTTTTGAAATAGTCTTTTCGTTTTTGTTATGTGACAAACAAGTGCGCATTTGACCTCCATGTCACCTGGTGGTAAGTGACGATGAGGTCGAGGATGTAGCATTCACACCTAAATAATGCCTGAAAAGTGCCAGAAAGCACCAAAAAGCGTCTGTACAAATCTTTATATTCGTGTAATAGCCAGGGTTTCAATGGCGGCACCATTACATCCGGGTTTATGGCTTCATTTTTGGTCGAAAAACTATTGCAGCAAATTTTTGATAATTCTTTTGCTCCGACTGTTGTATTATATGTTTTGTATTATAACTTGGTAAATAATCAAAAATAAGATTTTAGTAAATGGAATTTGAAACAGCTCCGACTGTTGTGGCGGTCGATTAGGGAGTGAGTGGTACGAAAACAAACAAAATGAGAAAGTGAAGGAAGATGGAACAATTCAAATTTAAAATTTAAATACATGTAAAATAAAAAAATGATAGGATACAAGAGGAGAGAGGCGATACAAAAAGGAGAGATGACGGTGAAAGTAGGTCACACCGTCACATGCCTATTCACTCTCGCCTTGAAAAGGTCCAAGTTATAGCGTTCGGGGAACAAGTCTGCAGGCAGGGAATTCCACTCCCGAGCCGCTCGCCATACAAATGTGGAAACAAAACACTTCGTGCGAATCCGGGTAATATCCACAACATGGGAGTGGAACCCCCGCCCACGTCTAGTCCCCCGTTGATGGAAAGGGGTAGGCGGAATCAAATTATGCAATGTCTGTTCCGAGATATTCGAGGCAGCACTTTGTCTTGATTTGTTATCTCAGGACGCGGGTATGCAGGGAGACTGAAGGCCTTAGTCTTAATGCTAATCATGCCATCAAAATTTATATTAATATTGTTAGAGCATTTTTCTCCGTTATCATTTTGGCTTACCTGTACTCGTAATCGTTGTTGTGGTCGTTGTAGGCTCCACATATTTAAGCGTAACCGTGATTGTACCTAATGTATACACATCATCGTTTTTCTTACATGAGCATATGATTTCTTTTCCGTCATCTCTCTTCGTGATTGTAACATTCTTTTCGATTTTTTTTTTCTTAGAAAACAATACGTCATGCTTCCGTCCTGAAACATTAAAATTTAACAAATTAATTAGAAATTCGAGTTCTTAGGTTTTCGCGATTGTTACACATAGGAAATGAAACTATTTTTCCGGATTTAAATCGCGTATATTTGTTTTTTCAAACTAACCGACGTTTCGGGCCCTTTACAGGTCCCATGGTCACGGTTGACTGAGGTGGTACAGTCTTTAACCAGTTATGTCTAATATTAATGCAAACCACCCTATTTTTTCACTA